CTGGATGATGAATTCCAGCAAGCAATGATCGCTATCACCCAGGTGGTTAAGGACCTGGAGCCCCCTTACCAGATCATCGCCTGTGGCCAGGACCAGGTCCAACAGGGCATTTCCTCTGGTGGGACTGTGCACCTCCTAGGTTAAGTGGAGGTCCTGTATCTCGGCCAGGAACCTCCTGGAACAGTCTGACCTGACTGACTGCTCCTCCCAGCAGATGTCTGGGTAATTTAGATCACCCATGATAACTACATCCCTTGCCTTAAGTGCCTCTGCAAGCTGGCCTGAAAATTCCCAGTCCAGCTCCTCCCTTTGGTTGGGGGGTCTGTAGTAGACCCCCACCGTTAAATCCCTCTCCCCATGACCCCTTGTATCCTGACCCAGAGCACTTCAGCTTGCCCCTCCTCCGACCGCATTTTGCTGGCAGAGGATGTGTATTGCTCTTTGACATAGAGCGCCACACCCCCTCCCTTCCTTCCTTCTCTGTCCCATCTGTAGAGCCTATAGCCCCTAATGCTAACTGCCCAGTCGTGGGATGAATCCCACCACGTTTCTGTAAGCCCTACTATGTCTGGGTTTGAAGTGGCTATTCTGAGGGCGAGTTCCTCCTATTTGTTCCCCATACTATGAGCATTGGTATACAGGCATTTAAGGCCTTGCATAGCTCCGCGTGCCACCCCCCGATTAGGAAGACTATCTGGACCCCTGTTTCTTACCTGGGCACTCCTTGCACGTGTCACCTGCCTTGCTCGGGTGGTGTCTCCATGTCTTCCTGCGGCCCCCTCCCCTGGTGAGGCTAGTTAAAGCTCACCGTACGAGATCAGCCAACCTGGAAGAGAAGACACGCTTGCCTTTAGGAGAGAGGTGAAGCCCATCCTGCCCCAGCAAGTCCCCCACCCGAAAGCATGGGTCATTATCTAGGAACCCAAGGCCCGCCTGGCGGCACCAACTCCGTAAGCACCATGTTTTATTTTACCTTGGAAAATAAAAGATGCATCAGACATAGAAAATAAAACTAATTGTAGCATTTGCTATTTTAGTTAAGTGTCAGAATCTGGGTGGATATTTTGAGATAAAATGGTAGGAACACACTTGTATTTACAGTATGTCATGACATGATAATTTATGCTTGTTGCCTCTATTGTTTCACTTAAATAACAAGCCAAAAAAAAGCCTGTTTTAGCTTGCTGCTTTGGCATTTGGTATTTCTTTATTATAATAAGGCATTAAGGAATCCCAATTTACTTCTTATTCTCATACTAAATAAGGATATTTTCCTCGCATCACCTCAGTTTTTCAAACATTTAAACCACGTCCAGGTTCTCCAAAACATGGAGCCCAGGACCAAGTTCTGGCAAGAATGAATTCATATCAATTGGTTGTAAGCATCCTGTTAAGCTTTTATAATTTCACCTTTTCCTTTTCCCCTCTCCTCTTTTTCCCTTCCTTTTCCTCTTTTCCTCCTTTCCTTTTTTTTTTTTTTTTTTTTAACATGACCACTCTTGTAATTTTAAAAGGATCCTGTATCTCCTTATTTTAGTCAGTTTTACATTCCCTCCCTGCCCCACCCCCAGCTGTGGGGGAAAGATTGTTAATTATATTGTTGCAAATGGATAAAAAGTGCATTTAGTTTAACTTAGATTGAAAGATGTTCCATGATAAGTTTTTATTTAGGAATGTACTTTTCTAAAAGTAAATAAATGAATTCCAAAATCTGTTTTTTAAATTACTCGTGTTTAGATCTGGTGTTTAAGAACAGGCAAGCGTATATTTGACTGTGGGGAACATACAGAGCAGGTCAACTGTTGCCAGTTTAACAGTGGAAATAATGAGCTTCTCCTGACCACTTGCTCAAATGACAGTTTGCTCAAGGTAAGTAGAAAATGCAGTGTTTTATTTAGCTTACAATTAAAAACATTGCTGGGGTTTTTTTTGTGTACATGCTCTTTTCAAACACCACAGACTAAATATTTTGCTTCCATAAACTATTAGACAAGGCAAAAATGAATAACAGTGTATGAAAGGAAGGGTAGAGGGCAGTTTTTCAGAAGGTAGGTAAAATTGCTAGAAGTATGTTTTAACCAAGGATAATGATATTTAGAAGAGAATGAAGACTGCTTTTTAATTATTATTATCATCTTGTCCTTAATTGCTGGGGTAAGAAATTGAAAGTTGTGACTAATGGGGAAAATGGAAAAGGAGTCACCAGTTACAAGGGGCATGGCTAAAAGAAAATGATTTGAATGGTAGGAGAGGAAAAGATTACTTATGATCTTTTAGGCTCTGAGGAGGAACTGAGTTGGGGAATATTGGATTAGATTAGTGTTAGTTATATTAAATAGGAGTTGACTGACTAACAGTGGAATTAGGGAGGTTGGGAGCTAGTCTGCAGTTAATAAAAGTTTTTAATAGATTGGAGTTCTCAGCCAATCAAACCTCTGTTTAAAAGTTAGGAGAAAAATGCAGTCTTTGAGAATACACTGATACCTGGCCATTCTAGAAAATATACTTGAAAAGGGTCTTGTGATAGAAGATTGGAACAGATTAGAATGATAGATCACCTGTACATGAAATTGGTAATTAAAATTTTGCGAGGTAGGATTTTTATGTGAAAGGTAACAGAGAGTGTCTCCATTGTAGGGATCACGTGAATTTTTTAGAATGTGCTAAACATCCATCAGGGGTGTAGGTTGTAGCTGTGTTGGTCTAAGGACATAGGCAGACAAGGTTCTTTGGGTGAATATGATAAAAGATATCAGATTCACTGAAAGAACCTTGTCTGCCTGAACATCCCTCTGCTCTCTGATAATCCAGGTTCCCAAAATCAGGCACCCAGAATTGCTTGTTATGCCAAAAAAAACCCCGCAAAACATATTGGAGGGGACAGAGGCAAGAAGAACCCTAGGAAAATGATGAGGTAGAAAATCATTGATGATGAAGTCGTAAGGAAGGTTGAAAGTCAATCAAGAGCACAGATGTATGGAAACCAAGAATAGAGAGGATCCTGGAGAGAACAATGATTTTAAAAGTTCTGAAGATGGTAGGGAAAATAGATGGTGCTCTTTTGATTTAGCTAATAGCTTATTAATGACTTTATACTCAAGAGGGTATGCTGAACCTTAGCTTGTGTTGATCACTATAAAAGAAAGAGTTTAAGTATTGCTAATAAATTATACTGTTTAGAATTTGTAAAATAAATTGAAGATTGGAACAAGATACTGGTAATTTTTTAGAGGCAGTGGACTCGAGGATAGTTTCTTAGCCCTCTTCATAGCTCCAGGGCATTGTCTCTGCTAAGGGAAAAAAAAGTTCTTTCTATTCCAGTTAGCTGACTGAAGTCACATATGGTAATGTTCTAACACAGTGGTTTCCAACCTTTTTTCATTTATGGACTCCTAAAACATTTTGAATGGAGGTGTGGACCCCTTTGAGTTGTAAGTGTAGGTATTCCCATACCTTTGATTGATAACAGCCATCTTGTGTGGACCCTTAGACGTAGTCTATAGACCCCCAGGAGTCCGTGGGCCACAAGTTGAAAATCACTGTTCTATTAGACAAGACAGTTTTTGGGTTTCCACGCAAATTAGTAGGTCAGAGTAAAGACTAAAAGAGCCCAAGGCTTACCTTGACTTGCAGACTCTTAAGAAAACTATGAATTTGTGAATAGATTTTTCTATACAAGTTAAGCAGGTTTTTGGATATAAATGCACCATCGTTAGCTTTGGATTATTTATGGTTTGACAGCAATTGTTTGTTTCCTTTTCTTGTAGCTTTGGGATGTAAGAAATAAGCGTTGTCAAAACACAATGTTTGGTCATACAAGTTCTGTCAATCATTGTAGATTTTCACCAGATGATAAATATGTGGCTAGTTGCTCAGCAGATGGAACAGTGAAGGTAAGCCTTGTTTTTAATTAATGTGTTTTCATGGATTAAATGGATGGAAGTTTCTGTGATGTGTTTTGATGATAGAAGTTGCTGTTGCTTTATTATATAACCTTTTAGTAATGCTTTGTAGTCATGTTTTTCAAACATTAATTTGTTACAACTTGGAGCATCTTGGTGGGGTAGCTGAGCATTATTTCCATTTTAAAAATGAGAAGCCAAAATGGGAATAGACCAGGTAACTTGCCTCAAGTCACAGAAGGATTTCGTATCATAACTAGAAGTAAAACAGAGGTTGCCTTGTTTCATTCTATCACTTATCCATGAAACTTTGAAAATCTGATGTCAAGGGAATGCTTTGTAAAATCATATTCCAAGTGGAAAAGAGATCTGATGACTTAATATATTTTCAGTATGAGCCAGGAA